ATGAAGCGCGGTTGGTGAGGTTCATGCATAAAGTACCTATGTGTCACCTAACGATACTTTTCCGAAGGCCGCTGCTTCAAGCGCTTGTTGTATCTGCCCTCCATTGCACGGCACACCACTGGTGGCCACAGCACCAAGGCCCGTAATAATTTAAAAAAATCGATTATTTTTATATATATATTTGATGCCCAATGACGATTCAAAATTACAGCGTGAAATTGATTGATTTGCGCGTTACGGCCAATAGACATTACCTTTATATTTTTATTCTCTTTCAGAAATGGTAGTATTCATTAAATTTGGTCCGAAAATAACTTTGTGGGGTCGAAGGGAAGTTCAATGTCGGCAGTAACGTGGAACACAGGAAGTATGCAAGAGGTTAACATACATTCGACAACTATGAGAAGTGAGCATGAGAATGTATGCAAGTTGTATCCCTGTGGGTAACATGTAAAGATGAGATTATGGGTCAAGTGAACAACACTCTTTGCGAATGACGTGCATTGACAGTCAACAAATACACTGCTGAGGATACATTTCACACAATATGTGTACCTATTGGATAACTTAGGTGGACTATTAATAGTACGGAAACTTACAAGGAATGGGACGACATGCTTCCTCACCTGGTACTCTACGTAGTACTACTACCAGTACTGGTAGTATGTCACAACGCGCGAAATTCCACAACCTTCTTTATCGTTTTGAGCTGGAGCAAGATTTCAGTTTGTATTTTTTTCCGAGACAATACAACCAGAATACCACCAACCTATCAAAATCGATGATAGCGAGCAGCTGTCGAAAACAGCGGGTGGTAGCCTAAGCAGGCTCGTCCAGCAAGTCGGGATGTACCCCAACATTTTCATTTTACCATTGTCTCTCGCGCTGACATGGAGAATGACAACACGACGACAGGCTTCTCCATCGTGAAGAGTCCTCGTGGGGATACCCCTCATCCCAATCTCCTGGCCTCGTTGCATCCTCTCGACAATGCCAACCTCCTCTCCAAGGCCATCTTTGGGTGGGCCAACTCCCTCCTTCGAGAAGGCAACCGACGCCAACTCGGTCCCGAAGACTTGTGGCCCCTCCAGGAATCCAACAAGGCGGCGCCCTTGGCCTCCAACTACGCCGCTGTCTACGTCACCCGAGGCAAGAGCATCTTGCGCACATTCTTCGCGATCTACTGGGCCAAACTCGTTGGCGTTGGACTCATGCAATTGTTCACGGTGGCCTGCGACCTCTACGGACCTGCCTACGTGCTCCAGAAAGTGGTGCGGGCCGTGCAACAGCCAGTGTTTGACGCCACCGCGACGTCGCTGCTGGTGATGTCCCTTTACGGCATCCAAGTCCTGAGTGCTTTCACGAAAGCGCACATGAAGTTCATAAACGACGTGATCGGTATCCAGCTTGCCTCCAGTCTGCGCTCGATGTTGTTTGAGAAAGCACTCAAGCTGAATGCCAAGTCCAAGAAGGAAAAGTCCACAGGTGACATCGCCAACTTGTTCTCCACCGATATTATCAATATCATGCAATTTGCAGCCAGCATGAACCTCATTTGGATCGTGCCGGTGCAGATTGGCGTCGTGCTCTTCCTGTTGTACTTGCTCGTGGGGTGGTCCATCTTTGTGGGTCTCGCGGTTGTGTTTGTGATTCTCGCGTTGAACGCTGTGGTGGCAGTCGTGCTAGGCAAAGAGCAAGATCACTTGTTCAAGGCCAAGGACAATCGCATGAAAGTCGTCAACGAAGTGTTTGGGGCTATCCAGATCATCAAGTTCAACGCGTGGGAAGAGAAGTTCCTGGCCAAGCTCACCGAGTTGCGTCTAGTGGAAATCGTGTCCATTTGGAAGTTCATGCGGTACTACTTGGTGCTCGTCACGTTTTTGTTCACCACTCCGGTCTTGGTCACGATCGCAATCTTTGCCACGTTCGCTCTGTGGATGAACCAGGCGTTGACTGTCGAGATTGTGTTTTCGACCCTGGCGTTGTTCAGGTCTATGCAACATGCCCTCTACAGCCTGCCTATTGTCATCACGTCTACCGTGCAGTGCTTTGTGTCTGTGAAGCGCATCAACGCTGTGCTGCATATGGATGAATGCGACCCGTCGGACGTTCAGACACCAGCCTCCAACGCCGCGCTCAAGGCCAAGTACGCCACCGACCGCACGGTGCTGGCCATTGACCAAGGCTCGTTTGGCTGGCACGCTGGGGAGTCGGACAAGGACAGCGCCACTGACACGAAAGTCGCAGACGCTGTCGCCCCGGAAGTCAATGCCGACGACGACAACGCTGTGTCTGTCCTATTTGCCGACGTCAATTTGACGATCCAGCAAGGCCAATTCGTAGTCCTCCATGGCGCCGTGGGCCAAGGCAAGTCGTCACTATGTGCAGCGCTTCTCGGAGAAATGCGCAAACTGGCCGGGACGGTGTTCGTGGGGGGCGACATCGCGTACTTTGCCCAGCAGCCGTGGATTCAGAACGCCACCATCCGAGACAACATCCTCTTTGGAAAGCCGTTCGACGCAGCCAAGTACGCCAACGTCGTGGAAGCGTGTGCGTTGACCAAGGACATTGCAGAGTTGCCTGCTGGGGACAGCACGGAAATCGGCCAGAAGGGCATCAACTTGTCGGGGGGACAGAAGGCGCGCGTGAGCTTGGCCCGCGCGTGCTACAGTGACGCCGATATTTTCGTGCTGGACTCGCCCTTATCCGCCGTGGACGCCATCGTGCAGAACGAGATCTTCACCAAGTGTTTCCTCGGCCTGCTGCGATACAAAACCATCCTCTTAGTCACCCATAGTCACGACATCATCCAGTCCCCCCACGTTCATCGCACGTTCCTCGTCCAAGACGGAGCC